TTTTTACGCTGACAACGTCGCAAGACTCCTTTTTATGATTTAAACGAGAAATGTAGGAAAAACGGAGTTTTCGAAAACCTCTCGTTTCTTCAGTTCAACTCTTTTCACTCGGTTTTTTCGTGTATTCGATAGGTCTTGTTACTGTCTATGATGTAGACAACGTCGCCATGCTTACTTCTTTGCTTATGCCGGTTTTTTTGTGAAAATTACCAAAAAGTGCGTTTTTCTTTACCTTGTTCTTTTTCAATGCTTTTGCAACGAATTTTCTCCAACTTGGACGTTACCTGCTCAGAATGATGAGCAGAAAAATCCAGACAACGTCGCAGGATACGAAACGACCATGCGGGGGTGAAAATTCAAAGGACGCGTCAAAAATCAGATTGGCGTCGATGTGCAACATAACTTTTCAGACATGTTTGACATGTTCAGTTCAGTTGTTGACAAGTTTGCCTTCTTTCGGTCTCCCAACTACCGCCACAGCTAACGCTTTTTTCAATTAGAAAAGAACTTTGTTCCTGTTGCCACCCAATTTAACCGGCAATTCTGAAGACGAAAATGTGCGCAGGAAACCACCTAGATAAGGTTTTAAATTTGGTGGTGTGTTAGCCTCTGTTTTATATGAATTTTTCATGTTTCCTGGTTCAATTGATCTCTAAGTTTCCATCCATTTTTTCTAAAACAACCTTCACTTTCTATAGGGGGCAAGAACTCAAACAACTATCACTTTCTAGGCTCTGTCTCTTGACTATCGAAGGTATGCTTGAAAGGCTTTCGTTAATTTCGAAGAAACAAAAGTGACTATGAGAAAAAGACGGTCGGTCGCCAGGAATCATCAGGGGACCACACAAAATGCTAGAAAATGTGGCTTGTAGCTTTTCGCTCCTGTTCAATATGTTCATAGTGAAGAAAGGTAGGAATACTTACGGATAGGTATACAGCGTGAAATCCAGATATCTGGAGCTTCAGAAGATGAAACTAACTTTCTAAGCTGTGATCCCCTCCCCAACGGTGATGTTAATGCATGCGGCCCTAAGGCCCGTATGCACGTACATCCCCGCTGGGGAGGGGAGGGGATCTGGGAGGGGATGCGTCATATCTCGCTGCTCTAAATATCTTTCTTCTTCTTTCTCTATCTTGGTTATAAAGTATTTCATACACTTACATCAGCGCATAATGGATGCCAGGTTACTTCCATACAAGATTGGTTTTTTGCCATTTTGTGTGATTCCCAGGAGATCACCTCTCATTTAGTCAATGAAAAAGCTGTAAAATTGTGCTGAGGATATACTACGGCAACAGAGAGATAAATGGCACTGAAATTAAGAGGTGACCCCTTGGGATTTCCTGGGGATCTCCAGGGGATCACACAAAATAGTGAAAATCTAATTAATCACGCCAGTAACCTGGCATCCATTATGCGCAGGTATAAGGGTATGAGAATCTTCATAAGCAAGATAAAAAAGGAAGAAAAAAGATACGTGAAGTAGCGAGATATGACGCATCCCCTCTCAGATCCCCTTCCCTCCCTAGCGGGGATGTACGTGCAATACGGGCCTACGTCACCAGGGACACACCGTTGAAGCTTGTTTCAAGCCAGAATGGGCCAAAGTTGTAATGGCAAGAATCGTCGCAGCGGTTCGCTCTTTCGCAACTATAGCACAACGTGCTGGGTAAAGGAACGAATAACTCAATCAGGCGCCACCTCCGAGGACTAGTGGTCTTTTGCGCATGCTAGTGCATACCATTTTGAATTCAGCAATCCGTGGAAGCGGGGCCTCATTGAGATTTAGTTACTCTATACCACTATGTTAAGAACCCATATCTATGTCTCCTCATCTTCGATCTCTATTTATGAGTGAAAAAATATTAGCACTGTGGGCGTGCAAAGCCTAGAGCAAAGCCGACGAGCTTCTTCAAGTGAAATGCTTTGGCCTCTATCCCACTGAGCGTAGCCAGTGCTGTCTGCTCGTCAAAGTAGCTCAAGGGCGCGCGGCGTCACTCCGAACATCGTGGCTTGCTCTCGGTCAAAACATACCGTACCATCACATACTGTCCAATGACGCTGTAAACGAGGCCCTGGGAGTTCCGACCGGAAGGGGGGGGGCAGTATTAATTTTTCTGAGTGAAGGTGTGTAATGGCGCCCACGCACTACGAAGAATTTTTTTAAGATGCTTTGCTTTCGCGGTCCTTCAAACTCTATGATGCAAAGTTGGCCCAGCCTAGATTTATGGCATGAAGCGAATCAATGCTCCTCATTACTGTAGAATTACAATGTGAACTTGTAGCATACAGTGTCACTGTGTAAATAATACCGTATATAGGAAAATCTGAAAAGTTGCGCGCAGAGTACTCGTGATGATTTCAATGCACACCATACCCTCGATACATAGAGCCACATACTCTGGTAACCTTCACTTTGAGGGCTATGAGGGGACACAACCTTCACCTGGGAAAAAAACAGAAGTTATCCGGGGCGAAGCCCCGGATGTTATAATCCTGACTATATCGGAAGAATGTGAATGAACCAAATATAGGAAAGAATATCCGAAGAATGTCTCAGCGAAACCGAGAAATTGCTTTTTTTAAAGCCTTTTTTACGCTGAAAAGAGAATTTCTGTGAAAATTTCCTCAGAATTCGGGACAACGTTCCTCAGTTAACCTCTTACTTGACCAAAAATGAGTTTCAAAAGTTTGGAAAGCTGTTGTAGTTGAATTTAAATGAGAAACTGCGCTTAACTGTGCGCGGAGAGTCGCGCACGAAAATGCTGGTCTATCTCGTCAGTATGTGAATTTTAAAGCTTGGAACGTTGTCAGCTCTCCTCGTCGTGTCATGACGGTCAGAATGATATATAATGTTGCAGGGTTTCGTTGAGACCCCGCGGAGATCTACGACCAGAGCCAAATGCCCCGTCGGCTCTGGTCTGTCTCCGCTGCTCGTCTGCGTCTCCGCGCGCTGCGCGCTACCTCGCTACCCCAAACGCGGGGCGCGGGGCATTTGGCTCTGGTACCCTTTTCTTCGCTGCTTCGCACCCAATTTTAGCAAGCTATATATCATTTTGAAGCTCTTGATCTATATTTTCACGCTGACAACGTCCCAAAATCACATTTCTTGATTTGGACGAGAAATCCGGCAAAAACCTTGTTTTCGAAAATCTCTTGTTTTTCTTCTAGTTTGCCTCTTTTTATCCGGTTTTTTCGTGCATTCTATAGATCTTGCTTCTGTTCATAATGCAGACAACCACCCAACCTTTATCTCTTCGATTAATGTGGATTTTTTTGCGAAAAATCGTAAAAAGTGCGTTTTTCTTTACCTTGTTCTGTTTCAATGCCTTCGCATCGATTTTTTTCCAGCTTGGGCGATTGTTGCTCAGAACAATAAGCGCAACAATCCAGACAATGTCCCAGGAAACAGGAACGTCAATGCGGGGGTAAAAATTTAAAGGACGCATCAAAAATCAAAACCCCGTGTTGCGAATTGCTGGTAAGCGAAAACTTGCACTTTGAAAAGCCGCCAAATGAAAGATTTCAAGCCTCATTGCAGCGTTTTTATCCCATTTTCAGCAGTTTCTTTTGCTTTTTGTATCTGTTTTATGTCATTTTCTCTTCTCTGATCATCTTTAAACAACCTTCACTATTTATGACGTCAGATGTTCAAACAACCTTCACTTTTGACGCCCTGTCTCTAGACTATCGAAGGTATGATGCTCACTCAGACAGTCGAAGGGATACCTCCGGCGGGCAAAGCGCGGGTCTGCCACTTCGCGCTCCGGATCGCTCCAAAGCCCTCCCATTTCACCAATTTTGGTGCTATGGGCTCTCCCAAATCTGGCGCACCTCCGGAGCAAACATTTACGAGTCCCAGAGAGGGGTCCCATTCGCCTGCTTGTGACGTCACGGTGACGCGGAGCACCAAAATTGGTGAAATGGGGGGGGCTCCGGAGCACAAAGTGGCAGACCCCCGCCATTTGCCCTCCGGAGGTATCCCTTCGACTGTCTGAGCAAGTTTTCACATGTATTTAAATTTTCGAGTGTTGCGTGTTTAACGGTAAGTAGGCCAAGTAACACACCGTATGCTTGGCCTAACTTATGGGTAAATGATCACGGTTGGATGGAAACGTTAGTTTTAGAATTAGCAACTTTGATTAGCCTAAAGAGTTTCCAAGTGCTTAGTTTGTTTTCCAGAGCAAGATAGGGGCTCATTATAGTTTACAACCCTCCTCAAAATTCCTGCCGTAGTTTCATAATAATGAAGAGAAATAGGCGATGGCTCCATACTAAAATCTAAGGCATAGAGCTCCAGAGCATGGTGTTTGAGTAGTCGCGGAAGCTTCCTTGTTATTGCGAAAAACGTTCAATACATATTTTGGGACACTGTGTAGCTCATCACAAGTTTTAACCTGACTGCTCACAAAGTTCCGAGAACTTACTTTCTTATTCGTTGTTTTTCCAATAACTTTTGATGAATTTGATTGTCTGTATAAGCTCAGCCAGTTCAAATCACGTTGCGTGTGCGCAGCAAGAGTTGTTACTGAAGGAATGTGCGGAACAAGGGCTATTACTGTAGAAATGTGCGGATACAAGCTGAATTGGGAAATCAAAAGTTCGACTAAAAGAAGCTGTGTTTCCTGAAACTTGGTTTGTGTTTACACTGAGGTAAGCCCTTCCACCCCCCCCCCACGCTGATTGATTACATCATACTTTTACATAATTCTCATTTTAACGATGACTTCCTGTGACTACCCCCACTTCTGAGAACTACAGTGGAGGAAGTCGCTAATTCTATTGTCACTAAGGTGATCACTAATTTCGTGAATATTTCAAAGAACAAATGGTAAGGACGATTGCAAATAATCAACAAAAAGCGTCGTACTGTTGATTACCGTTGTGTGGAAAATTGCGGTCACGTAAACGTAAGCTACTTCCACACTGAGAACATCTGAATCTGGCACGAACGGCGCTCTGTTTGTTGGTCATAACTGGGAAAATTTTAGGCACTCACTCTTTGTTCGAAAGAAGTGAAGCTATGATGCACTGAAGGAGTCGTGAAAGTTCCATCATTTAGTTTTCGGCGCAGTGGTGGAATATATAATGGTACTGCACGAGGGTTACGTCGCGCAGGTTCACTGCCAAATAATCTGAAAAGTGAATAAACAATACGTAGAATTACCTAGTAATAAATGACAGAAGCAACCTACTCGATCAAACGATCCATCGAAATTTTGCCGTTGAAATTTGTTGGTAATGGGCGATCCGCAAATTCGGGGAGCTCAAACTGTCCAGCAACGTCATGATCTGTGTCGCGCGAACGTTTCCTCGAGGTTTCTGGCTTGGGAGAGGCTGGACTTTCGAATCTCGGAGGTGAATAAGTTTTGTCGCGAGTGACTGTCTGGAAGGGACGCTATGTTGCTTTTGACCGGAGACCACTACGGCCTTACCTTAGGGATCTCCTTCATCATATCTTTCTTCACACTCTCTAGAAGTTTTCTTTTGATTTTTGAAGCTTCGTTGGATACGATGGTATTCGCATGAGAAGAAGCCATTTCTTTTATACATTTTGTGATTTCATTTTGCAGGTCACAAAACGCTTTAAAATCCACATCATTGAGGCTCACGTGACGTAGGATCTGTAAACCAACAAAATTAATTCGAGTCATTGAAAAAAGTCCGAAAACTTTTCGATAATAATTAAAACAAGAGTTCGTAAAATCGACAAGAGAAAGTCGGGGGTTTTCCCTTCTTTTAGGTTTTTTTCTTCCATACACTAAAATAACGCACAAATTCACTGAGATTCAGAACAAATGCTTTTACCTGCCCTTCATCATTTCTGTCCAAATCTCTGCTGTGGCGGTTACATTTGCCTTCTTTGATATGGAAATTTGCCAAAAAAGGAGTTGCGAAGCGCATCTGGCATCGTCGACACTCGTACAGGAAGAACTCTGGAAACTATGAGGTCCTATGTAGTTTCGAGGAATTAGACTGTTGCGCTTACGAAGATGCTTCGCTATGTGTTCGACAAGTAAGGTAAGATCCTCCGGCTGGGCTTTGATATGGTTTTTGACACAAATCGGACAGCGAAATATCCTGGCAGGAGAATCTAACATCCTAGAATCAAGTAATTTTACAATCATTTATTTTGCAACCCAATTTTGACTTACAATTAAGACAAGAGCTCAACATCAAAATATAGTGTTAAGTTGTAGCTGGCAATATTATTTTTTAAACATAACGAACGAAAACTGAAGAGAATTTTGTCAGGTGGAAGGAGGAGACACAATAGAATTCTTTTTTAAATAAACAGGCGTGACTAAACATGTTCTCCTAAATTTTATAGATACATTTCAAAACTTCTACAAGCCTTTTTTAGAAAAAAAAAACAAAAAATCCTCCTAATACGAATTAGACGAATTTAGAGATTAACCAAGAAGCTCATAATCAAAGAGTCAATATTCTTCTAAATTATGCAGACCACTTCAAGAAAATCTTTTGCCACTCTCCCCTTCATTTCTCCTTCTCAATCACTTATACCGCAAGGGTGCTTTTCCATTCTTGCTTTGAAAAAACCACGATTTTCTTTTGGGAAGGAGCGGATTGTAGTATTTTTATCCACTCTGTTTTTGGTCTTCTAATAAGGCTTTTCCGTTTTCACTGACTGGGGGGCTAGCAAGGGATGTCAGGTAGCTTAAAATCGCATTCTGAGCTGAGACACATCTATTTGGAATAGCTTCGAAGATTCCAAGTATGCTGCTCCTAGCTGCACATTACTCTAAAGGGTTACTGTAAGATTCTATGCAAAATTTGCATCTATTTGACCTACTGGCATTACGGTACCATCATCTTAATTCATTTATCATTCTTGATTCAGCTAATTCACTCCCTAAGGCCCCGGACAGACTTCACGCGACTTAATCGTCGCGATCTAATCGCCAAGATTTCCATTCATTTTCAATTCACATTCAAAATTTTCGGGCTGGAAAGGTATCACAACCGAATGCAAGTTGATCGGCATGGAATGATGTTGTAGCAGTTGCCTCGTCGCGATTCAGTCGCGACGATCAAATCGTTTGAAGTCTGCCCGGGGCCTAAAGTTACTTCTCAAGACAAAAGACTCGTCTGATATCATTCTGCAATAGTATCCAGCACCCTTTTCAGGCATATTCCCCTCTACAGGTAGCTTTCCCATGCTGAGTAATATGCCAGTTGCGCACAGGAAAACTCTCTCTTCAGACCGCGACGCAGCTACGAACAGCATTTGTGGAATCAGCGTTCGAAACTGGTTCCAAATACATGTGTCCCGTCTCGAAACGCGATTCTAATTTACCTGACATCCCTCGTAATAGAATCTTAGCTTCGAAAATCATATATTCAATGCTGCGGCTTTTTTTCTCTAAATTCACTACAATCAAGTGAGTAATATAATGAACTATATCAAACTAAGTTGAAGGAATATTTCTCTAAATCTAGAAGTCGTATTATAGTATATTTGATGCAATAAAGCTTAACGGTATAACGAGAATGAAAGCGATCATAAATACGTATACAAAAAATTCTGCACGAAGAGTTGCTTGAAGTCTCTGAAGAAAGGGAATGCGTAACCACAGCTGCCACTCATGTTGGAAATAAAAGAGTCGAAGCTTTGCGGAATGAAGTTCATCTATCGATCGATCACGAAGAGGATGAAGATGGAAACTAACAAACAGCTTCTGCTGCTCTCGGACAAAGACTTTTCTTTTGGGATGGTCATTAGTCCAGGATGAAAACAAAGTGAGTATAGTGAATGTTTTTGATTGTGAATATTTGCTGGTGAATTAGCTAGAAAAATGCGAATGTTTTAGTTTATGCTCTAATCTAATTGTAAGCAGAAGCTTTTCGCTGGTTTCCACAATCCATAACTCAGGGACCGTCATACTTCGCCGAAAAAAGCTCGAAGAAGCCCGAAAAAGCCGAAGAAAGCCCAAAAAAGCCCAAAAAGTCCGAAAAAGCCCGAAAGAGCCGGAACGTTGAAACGATATTATGGTAAAATTCTGACGTTATTGACTCACCTAGTGTTGCAATGTTAACCTCGAATTTTCATTAAATCTCTGAAACGAATTTGAACGCAGATCTCCTGTATTTCCTCAGCTTAATTCTTTTCAAGATTCAAAGACTTGGCTAATGAACTTCATGGGGAAAAAATGTTGAAGGGCACATATCTTACAATTAGTGTGGAATTCATAGATTCGGAGATATCATGTCTAACGAATCCGACTTACAAAAGAGATGTTGAAGCCAGAATAATCAAAACATGTGTTTCACGAGTACCATCAACATCTGCGTGATGTTGCGAAATAAACGTCTGCATCAGCGCGATGATGTCTCGATTGCTTCACCACTCTACAGTTTTCCTCGACACCATGGAAATTTCAAAAAAAAAACTCTCTGTAATCATAAAAATTTGTGAGAGTAAAATGGGCTCATGGACGAAGTGTAGTATGTAGCCTCTAACAATGCATGCAATTCTGTAAAAGGTAAGAGAATCCTTGTTGTACTTTTATGACCCTTGTGCTAACAGGTTGTTGCAAAAATAATGTCGGTTTTGCAAAGTATTATTTTAGAAGGATATAACTTTGTCCAGTCTTTATATCTTTGAATGCAATCATGACCATCAGAAGTAGTAAAACTTTCGTTACCTAGCGCGCACCTACATACTTACACTGATACGGCAAACTTGGAGAAAATCATGCCAAAGTTGTTCACTTTTTTGAGCCTATTTATGGTAGACCAGAAACCCCCAAATTATGAAAATTTGGAATCCCTCATGCACTGAATAGCTGTTTTTCTTCAGAAATTGCAGGCAAGATGTCCTAACCTCCAGCATACAGAAATGAGTGAAGCTTCGGCGACCGCCTTAGAGGCAACGTCCACCCAGATTCTCGACTTCCAGGTTTTTGTCGTTTCAGGGCCTTCTCATGTCTCCCTAAATCGAATATGAAGTCGAGAATCCGCGAAAACCTCGACAATCCCCGTTCCGAGAACCCACAGGCCGCTTTCCGGAACGGTATTGAAGGGGGGCGCACGGATGGGTGGGCATGGATGGGGGGGGAGGGCAGTGCCATTTAGGGTCCTCGTGCACCTTCGTTATTCGGGAGCGATTTTTCTCGCTTCCGAAGCGACATTTTGGGCCCGACTTGGGCATCGGCTTGATAGGGGGTCCCACTAGCATATGCTGCTAAAAGCTCAGGACGCCGTCCATCTTCAACTTAGGGTGGACGGCGCCACTAACCTGGATCAGGAAATATCAGGAAAAAATTTTTAACCCTTAGAGTGCCATGCGACGAGTATCTACTTTGAGGCGTCGATTTTTCAGTCCAGATATTTTTGAAAATTTGAACATGTAATAGGTAAACAACACTCATCCCACACAGTAGAGATAATTCGTTTTTCGTTTGTTTGCGACTGAATTGTGGCCAAGGAAGTTGAAGCAACGAAATTTTGATTTTGAGTGCAGCCGTACGAGATGCTGGTGAAATTCCCAGATGGAAGAGATAGAGATGAGATAGAAGCTTAATTTTACCACTGTTAGGTAGAAGCATAACCTACATCGAAAAAGAAATTTTGAAAGGAAAAAAGTTGTTCGGAAACGTACGCCTAGAAAAACGGACATTATTTTCGCAACAGCCTAATTTCTCAAGCGGGGCACTACCATTCCATCCAGGACCGCGGTCCGCATGACATTGCTCCCTGCGGCGGCTTGGGTGTGTGCCGAGAAGCGCGTAGATGGAGAGCAGTACATAGTTGGCATTCTATAACATTCTGCAACATTTCAGATCTTTCAGAATATATACCACAAAGTTGCATGTTTTGTTCATATAGTAATCCCGAAATAAAGTTGGACGTAAATGTGAAGGTTCAGAACTCGTGAAACAGCTACGCAATTAAACGCAAACTTGCACATCTGTCAACTTTTCGGCAAACTAGTCGAATTTAGCGGATGATGAATTTGAACTAATAATAAGCCGAAGCATTATCGTCTTGAAAACTCGCGCTCTGAAATGCACTTTGAAGTGTGACAGCCGAAGAAATTGCGATCTTGGTCTCTTCCAGCGTTTTCGCCTAAGCATTCAAAGGTGTGAAAACAATGACGCCACAGGATTTGAACGGGTAGGGGAACGAACTCCGCCAGTTCGAACCGCGGACTACTGGTCGTGCAAAGGCATGCAACAATATAGCAAAAGGACCAGTTACCAGCGAAGGCGGGCTCAAACTGGCGAAGTTCGTTCCCCTACTCGATTTGAACCCTCGTCGGCCACCTTTGAATCTCCGTAACCAATACATCAAACGTTTGAAATAGCTTTTTGTTTCTTATTAGAAGTGCATGCGCCGGATGAGGGAGCTATAACTTGCTCCAGATTTATGCTTCGCTAAAAACACAATTTTGAGACTGACTTCCAAGCTCTCAGTCTGACAATGAGTATCTCACATCTCAATCTGCACTTTCGACTTAGTGGCCTTTCTTTTTCAAAGGGGGAATACTGTCCAAATACCGTTCATTCTGTGACAGAGAGACTCGCAAAAATTTTACACACATCGTCAAAATAAGCTTGAACTTGTTCTCCCATGTTTTCATATAGCCAATGGTCCACTTACAATTAGATTAGATAGATTACTAGCAGAAACTTGTTAACTACACCATCAAGCTTGTTTTGGCAAAGTGTGCAAAGCGCTTTCGAGTCTCTTACAAGTCACCGAATGGAAATACACTGCAATGTATGTGCCCTATACATACGGAGGCTCAAATGGAGTACGTTCTGAGGTGTTTCGAAAGTCCTCAAATTGCAGAAATCTAGTTCTTCACCTCGTTTTTCGAACACGCTTTGAGATGTGTTTATTTCTTTTTCGAGTTTACCGTACCTAGCAAAAGATGACTATAGCGGAGTTCTCCCGGAACCGCACCACTTTATCCCCAAACTAGAATTTGTCTCAAATATTAAGCAATCAGAAAATTTCCGTCCATTTTATTCGCGTAGACCCCTGAGTTCCGAGCAGTACACATGCAGAAGTCCACACCGAATCCGCCACGAGTGGCTCAAAGTATCCCGCAGAAAAAAAATAGGCGTCGATCGTGTTGCGGCGAAGTTGCAGACCGCACATCGGATTCGACATCAGCTTCTCCTAGACGACAGTTTTCAAAAATTCAGTCTCCATATAATTCACAGAGGTTAGGTACTCTTAGCGAGGCACTTTCTACATGTTTTCGTGGTGCGAAATCAGATTCTCCAGTTTCATCACGATAGCGGTATGTTTTCTAATGTTAAATCGTTACTTTTCTGTTTTTGTTTTCAATTCATCCTTGTTTATATTCGCATGTAGATACTTGTTTTGAGGGCAGTTTGTTTTATCTCTGGGAGTTATCACAAATCTGATTCATTTCTCGAGCTAGATCTTTCGAAGTCGCAAACACTTTATCTCTCTCGCACCGATCATTTTTATTGCATGAAGATTTGAAACAAAACGCGCTATCCGCAGTTATTGTTTAGTTCAGTGTTTTCCGTTTACTTCTGCCGTTTTTACCGATTTGAGAAAAGGTTATCTCGAGTGCTTTGAATAATTTCTTTCTATTTCCTTCTCATTTGTTTGACTTTCTACTAGCTATAGGTTTTGAAATGGATTATTCATTCCTGTTGCTCCTCGATCATTTCCCAATCTAATGCCGAGCTCAGGTTCGCAATTTCCGTGCTCGTATCAGACTACTTCCACTCGTTTCTCTTGAGAAGCAACTAAGTCATTTGATCTTCTTTCCCTCGATTTACAATCTCTTTCTTTTCCTTACTCAAAAAAAAAATAGCAATAACTATCTAGAGCATTCCGTGAATTGTCTGTAAGTACCAAGGCTTTCCTTTTTAGCAATTATCAGTTTTGGTTTTTCTTCCTATCATGCCTTGCAGAAGCTGCATTTGGAATCAACTATAGATGTAGCAAATTTATTGCGAAAGTAAAACTTCATTTAGAAGTCTTAAGGTGTAGTGGTAGGAGATGTATGCAATAGCTGTTTGCATAAAACTAGAAATTTGCAAAGCGATTTTATGAGAGAAGTTGAGTACTTTCGCTTGTTCGCGTACTATTCATTTCATTGGTTGAAACGCAGTTTTTTTTTTTTGAAATTTCCTATACTATTGCGAGGAACAGAACCAGTGAAGATAGCTGATTTGTCTGAAAACTCTATTTTTCCTGAACCAACGGAGTTGACTGACTGACTCGATCATATGTCTGATTGTGAGCAAAGGACGTTATGTCGCCGAAAGACTTCGTCCATACGGACATCTGCCACACAATGTGCATTCCAATACATCAAAGCCTGTACCACCGTGCAAGTGCTCATCTTCAGTGAACGTCCTCTGCCCTGTTGCAAAGATGGGTACTATTCACTGGTTTTGATTAGCAAGACAAGTAAAACTTTGCATACCGAGGGTTGCTTTTCGTGGAGGTTATGGCAAATGCACATGTGATTTGATCTTGCGGCCGCTGTAAACTTTGCAAAAGGGTGTTTTCGATAATCCAAAGATTCTCATTGTCAGTTTGAGTTTGAATGTCTGATCGATTGGCACCATATGCAAGTGCGTCTGCCTTGGTGCGCAGCTGTGGCGAAGTGCAAAACTTCCGCTTATATACGTTGGTCGATGGTATGCTATCAAATCTATTCGTTTCTTGTTTACAATTGTCACATGAATATTTTGGGTTGTGAAGAAGTTAATTATTCCATACATGTATCTATAGCTCATTTTTAAAATCGTGACGATGAATTCGGTTGCGGACTTTGTGCTCACAGGAGCATAAAACGCTCATACAAGAAGGTCTCACCTCAACGTTTGGCTCAGTCGCTTCCAGTGTCTAAATATTATCATACGTAAGCAAAAAACTATCCAATTAGCGATGAAAACCAAGAAAATGCGAACTCCGGAAGTGGCGTGCGTGCCGCGCGCGGTCGCGCCATCGTCACGATTTTTCAAATGCCCTATAGCTTGAAGTGGCAAAGCAGAAGGTTTTTAGGGGGGGGGGGGGTAACGCACATAAATTGCTACGTAACAACAGTTGCTATTTCCGGAAATTTTTTTAAAACGTTGGATTTGCAAAGTTTTTGAGCTTGGTAATCTTACAAGAGGTATGTTGCATACGAGTCTTCAAAACCTTATAAAGCAAAATTGATTTCCACGAGATCATGGAATCTTTCTAATTATGTGCATAAAACAATCTTAGCTGTATGATATAGATCTGAAAGATCCTCTGTCCTCCCCCTCTTCTGTTCCAGAGAGTTTGTTAACCTTGCTAGATCTGATCAAAATCGTGTGCCAGTATGCCAGTATGCCAGTATAGTTCACTCAACCGATTGAACAAAAAAATACAGCAAACTATTTGACTCGACGCAACTTTGGCATCACTTTTGAGCCAACTTAAAAACTCTTAATGCTATTTATATTTCTTGCAGTCCATGCCTTTTCGAAATTTTGCAGATAGTATGCAAAAGTTTTGCCATGGGGGAAAGATTCCTGAAATGATTCCAGAAAAAAGAGCTCGAGGCCCATATGCACGTACATCCCCGCGGGAAGGGGAGGGGATCTGAGAGGGGAAGCGTCATATCTCGCTAGTTTATGTGTCTTTCTTCTTCCTCTGTCTTGCCTTTGAAGGTTCTCATACACTAATACTAGCGCATAACGGATGCCAGGTTACTGCCATACACGATTGGATATTCACTATTTCGTCTGATCCCCCGGGGATCCCTAGGGGATTACCCCACATGCTCAGGAGTATCGTTGTATATCTTCAGTACAATTTTGTAGCGTTTTCATTGATTTTCCAGGAAGATAAATGACTTTGAAAATGTGAGGTGATCCTCTGAGGATCCCCAGAGGATCGAAGAAATTATGGATATCTAATCTTGTACAGCAGTAACCTGGCATCCATTATGCGCAGATATAAGGGTATGAGAACTTTTGTAAGCAAGACAGAGGAGAAGGAAGAAAGATATCTACAGTAGTGAGATATGGCGCTTCCCCTCTCAGATCCCCTCCCCTCCCCGCGGGGATGTACGTGCATACGGGCCTAAGGCGCTTCACGGACCAGTCAACATTTTTTAGATAAAGTCGCGCACATTCCACCTGCAGTACACCTACAGCAATGCTGGAATCTAATATATAAAGAAACATAAGCGCAATTCAAAAGTCAGCATGTGCGAACGCTCTTCCAAATAGCACCTTTAGATTACTGGTTCACTAGTGTTAACAAAAACAGTAGAGGTTCTGTTTAGATCCAGTACAAAAAAAAAACTCCCGGAGTGGGTTTAACACAAAATAGTAGCCATTTCAACGATACACATGGTGTGTCAAGCCTTGACACACCATGTGTGTCAAGGGGTCGTCAATGTGTTGAGATTGCCTCAACTTGCTACTTACAGTTTTCATATGAACACCATTGTATTTTTTATGTAGGAGTCTGTCAAACAATCCGTTTAACATCCCTCATTGTTAGAATTAGCCAGCTTCAGTGTTGAAAATCGTTTTGTTGAAATGATTAACGTTCGGAGACATGAGCAAAAGTGAAAACATAGGAGCGCTTTAAAGCTCAGATATATTTTTAAGTCAATAAATTTTCCCCAAAATTCCACTTTTTTGTTCGAAGTGTAGTAGCACACAGCTGTCAAAGTTATACAGAAATGAAGAAACTTTTGTCATTGTTAGCTTGTAGTGGTAATTGCAGTTGTAGGTCCGTACGGTCAATTTTGTACTATTACTTTGAATTTACGCTTACAATGTAGCAAGGACTGTCCATTTCTCATGAAAAACACATCAGGAGCGCCTTATGGTTTTGAGAGAACGTTTGTGCAATTTTGGATTTGCTGCTCTATCCAGTTTGCTCAAACCTGCATCGAACCTGTGCTGAGTCTGGAACTATAAATATGTTATTCATGCTCTCTAATCTGGTCTTTGATCTAAAGTCCTTCTTTACTGTTTTCTCATGACTTATTTGACATCTTACGAAGACCTCTGTTAATTCGATCGTTACGCATCATGTCGATGAGTACTGAGGTGTCTGCTGACCGTTTGAGTTCTTACACTTACAGTATCCTCTTGAGGATGCTCGAAGCTCCTCTTCGAATATTTCGATGTTATATATGTATCGAAAATCATATAAAGGCACCACTAATGGATATAAGCTTCTTGATCGAACATCTGGCACTGCATTTTGGTAAGTCTAATTTTGTAGTTATTCGAATTTCCAGTATAATCCTCTAGAGTTCCACCTCTACGAATGTCGTGGTTGCAATCAAAAGTTTGCTACACCTTTTAATGCCAACTTCCATGTAAAAGAGGGGCAGTGTAAAACGGAAGAAGGCGAACTTCTAGACGATGGCGGACCGGTGAGGATGTTGTAGTCGTAATATGTAACGATATGTATGGTTTTTCAGCCCATGAAAGCAGTGGAGCTCGAGAATCTGGAGTTTTCAACTTTTTGTCATCTTGAAAATGCTATCACAAAGTGTATGGAGCTAATGTTATATGAGTGTGAGGAAAATCTAATTTGGTAGTAGTCGACTGAAATTTATAAGTTGTGTTTTTAGTGAGTCTTGGTGACGTGGATCTGATGCATGCACTGAAAATGAACGAGTTGGTAAGCTTTCAGATTTACCCTTTCCTTCAAAGAAATTGCGCTATGATTGCGTACCATTTGAACAAGAAATACAGGTCCTAGATTTGCTAAGACCCGGAATTACTGTAGTTATAAGGTAAATGGGCTGAGACTGCGAACTTGCTCAAAACTTTGTTTAGAAGATTTCGTAAGCGTGCTGCTTGCAGCTGATATAGATAGTGCACTGGAGATTTTCTGCGCAATCAAATTAGGCATTATACCATATACAGGGTGTCCCAAAAGTATGTATACATTGTTTGATTGTTCTCTCTTTTCCAAGAACGTTAGCCTACCTCTGGGCACCATTTTGCAGCTGGCTTCAGCTTAGATTAGTTAGTATGGAGCGAATCACTCATAGCCCTTCATTACTGTAGGATTACGGTGGAAACTTCAAAAGGGCCCTTTTCCGCTTCATAAAGCAAACAAAACAACCTGAAAACTTTTATACTGGGCTAATTCAAGACGATAAAATCAAATGTGAAGTTTGCACTTTACCGCAATGCTTCGTTCATAAGTTATGCCAAGTAAACCGCATTATTGTTTTTAAATGCTCCCTAATCGTGATAACACCATTTAAAAAGCTTTGCAAACTCTACAAAGTTGAGCAATGTCAAGGCGCGTGAAAACCTTGGTACATCGCTTTTCAGATTTTTGGAAACTTCTTTCGAAACACAATTGCTTTGTAAGCTGAAAGTTCTTACCGTAATCCTACAGTAATGAAGAACGACTGGTGATTCGCGTCATACTGTAAATTTAACAAGGGAAGGATACTCGATCGCAGTGACTATTGGATAAGCGGAGTATACGCGGTATACTCCGTCCCCAGAAGGTGATCTCTAAACCGCACTCCATACTTGCTATGACGTCATTCTGGAAGAGCTACAAAGTATTTTGCAAATATGCAAAACCGGCGTCATCCGAGGGAAATCGAACCCACGACGTCCAGCTCAACAATCCAAGCCACTCCCACTATCCACTGCATCAGTCGATCACGACAGCGATGAGGCAAATCTTGTACCTGAATGCGCTTGCAGCACCAATCCTTTATAATCCTTCCAGAGACGTCATAGCAGGTATGGAGTGCGGTTTAGAGATCACCGTCTGGGGGCGGTATAGGCGGTATATACCGCTTACCCAATCACTGCGATCGAGTACCCTTCCCTTGTAAGTTGAATTCCGCTCCACAAAATGGTACCTGAAGGTAGGCAAAAGACTTCTTGGGAAAACATCAAACAGTGATACATCATTTGGGGCATCCTGTATTCTGCACGATTTTGTATAAACAGTCCTGTATATTTTAATATCGTAAACAAATCAGCAGTTGAGAAACCGCCTTAGACAAATTTATGCAAATTCCGATTTTGGGTCGCTATCGTGTGCTTTATAGTAATTTCAGGAAATGACGGTAAGGTCCATTTGTAAAGTAGTGACGACGAATTTGACTGCGGTCTTTGCGCCTACAGAATCATAACAACCTCATACAAAAGGGCATCACTTCAGCGCTCAGCCTAGTCACTTCCAGTGTCCAAGTGCTATCTTACCTAAGCAGAAAAACCAGTCGAATAGAGATTAAAACCAAGAAATGCGTTGCCGAAAGGTGCTTCGTGTCGCGCGCGGTCACCCATCGTCACGATTTTTCAAATGCCCTATACTTTGCTTAAGTAATACGATATCCGGCTCAGTTTGCCAATTATCTTTCTGTGCAAATTGTACTCCTCGATTTGGTTTTTGTTTCTGTTAGAGTGAACTAGCAACGAGATTGGCAGAGTTCCAGATCCCCAAGTATCCAGTATCACCGGATCCAGTCAACACAGAAGAACGCCAAATGCAAACTTCACCACCCATTACTCCGCCACCTTCCATGGAAGTTGAACCCGCTGTCGCTGATTCGCAAACTCAGACAGAGTCTTCGAGTCCACTTTCTGAGCCAGCGTCATCGGATACGTCATTGACTTCCTCGGCTGATGGTGCGCCCAAGGTTGGTGGCTCGGCAGGCTTAGCTTTATCAATGATTTCTGATGATGAGGAGGAGCAGGTTTGTACATACTGTTATAACTTTTAGATTTATTTGCGCAGTTCGACCAGCCATTTATCAGCTATTTTAGCTAGGTAATGAGCCACAAGAGGTTAGTATGGAATTGAGCGACGGTCTATCAACCATCAGCAACGATTCAAGTAGTAGTCGTGAAACGCCGACTCCACCACCTCCGCCACCACCTTCGTCTCCACCTCCACCTCCTCCTCCACCTCCACCTCCGCCACCTAGCGATCCTCCACCAGAAAACCTTCCAGCCCCAAAGCTTGCTCCACCCGAGAGTCCCATACTTCCACCACCCCCACCGCCACCAGTTCTTCTTCCTCCAGGCGCAAGTGTCGGGTCAATACCGCCACCGGTTATTCTGCCTCCAAACGCAGGCGCCGGCTCAATACCGTCACCGGTTCTTCTCCCTCCAAGCGCAAGTGCCGGCTCAATACCATCACTGCTCAGCTTGCAGTTCAATCAGTAGGTTTTTATAATGTCTCTATGTGCTAGAATATTACTTTTACTTTTCAGTAAGCTTGACTATGACTTACCGCCACGTCGTGACAAACGTCAACCACCAGCCAACAATTCCGAACGGCAACGTCAACCACCTGCCAGCACATCCGAACGACCTCCAGCGGCCCCTCCAACGGACTATGCTGAACCAGATTCATCATCATCAGTCACGATGCAACAACCTTTCTTCTTCCAACCTCCGCCGTTGAAGTCGAAACGAACTTTGTCGAACCCGAACATTGGCTCAGCCAATGATCCCGTTTACCCAGTGCTGAACCCGGTATATCCAGCCGGCCTACGAATGTACCCAGGGCCATCGCATGGAAATCCAGGATTTTCTGGCCATCCGCTATCAGATGATTCGCTGTCGTCATGCCAGCAACCTCCGTTCTACGATGGAGGGGCAGCTAGCGTAGGAGAAGTGTCGTCATCCACTAATTTCATGCCTTTTCCTGGTGATAGGAGATTGTCCGAGAATATGCCTGGATTTTCTCAAGATATGCCTCCTCCTTTAAGAGTGGATTCAGTAAGTTTCATGAAACTTGGGCGTTTTTGCTCGAAGTATTGAAATATTTCCAGCCAGTACAAGGTCATCTTCCCCCGGATTTTGGAGTAGCTGATGGTATGCCGTTTACGGAGTTTTCACGTCCTATATTTGAAGGAGGCGGTGAGTTATCGGGACTAGATAAGTTTTGTTCAATTTTTTATCCAAATCAAACATCATGCTTCTAAGATTACTTCGATAGTCAAGCTATGGATACTGATGACGTGGGTCCCTCCAGAGTCGGTAAGTCGAGTACAAACTCGGCTCAAAAATAGCCGATTTTTTCAGATCGGTTCAATCACTTCCAAGTCAACGCTGATGAGTGGGTTGGTTGTGAAATGCGCGTAAATGAACCACATCCCGGTCCTGGAGGAGGTATCCGCCAGCAGCCCCGGAGGTATCCGAACAGGCGAGATGGGAAACCTTGGAGTTATGCAGTGAGGGTGGATCGGTCATTTGATCCACACACGGGGACCACAATCACGCCTAGGGAAAAACACACTCGTGGACGATCATTGTCTCGGGATAGATCGTCTCATGGCAGGTCTAGAACCACCGATGCCCGATTGCGGGCTTCTCGATCAAAAAGTCCGCGGCCATCTTATCGACGTCGACGTTCACGTTCACCAAGAGAGCCAGCTTCAAGAAGGCCGGGTTCCACTGAGAGGCGACGACATCGCTCTCCATCAGATTCTAGGAGGAGGTCGGGTTCTATAGAAAGGGGACGACGTCGTTCTAGATCGGGTTCCCCGAGGTCACGCTCTGTGGGAAGACATCGGTCAAGAACAAGAGAGAATTTCAATATATTTCACGAGTCAAATGAGAATAATGTGGCTGGTCTCAGTGGAAGTTCAGACTCTACAAGCAGTTCGGATGACCTTGTTGAAGAATTGGAAATGAAAGAGGAGGAGTAAGTTTGGTTGACAGTTTTGACAGAGAAGTAGTTCAAATACCAGTGTTTGTTCCAGAGTCTACGCATAATGTTGAGACCATCATGGAGAATTTCTGAAGATTTTACGTCCTTTTGGTTTTGGATATAGAAACACTGTTGCAGATGAGTTTCTGCCAAAGTCACATGCTATATGCTATTCTGTTTTTTTCCGAGTAGTAGACATTTTCAATAAGTTATTTGGTTTTATCATTACATTACATAGTACTTATCTTTGATGCTTGGATCATTTTTGCTTTACTAAAAAAGCTAATATACCAGCTGCACTCATTGTTCATTGTTCGATATGTTTCAAATTATGCTGGGCTGAGCAGTGACCTTCCTTTTAGCGTAACTCTTCACGCTTTGCTTGCTAATAAGTTATTTGTTATCATTAATCTAGCGGAAAAGAGTATGATTTAGCTTTGACTGCACCGCATATATCAATAAAGCCTTCTATTTATGTTCTGGACTGTTGCTGCAATGATAAGAAATAGTGAGGTTTGGTCTCAAAGTCATAACCATTAATCTTTTGTTCAGCGAAAACCGTGATGGCATAATATTGGTAAGATCCTAAGAAAGATTATTGATCTCCGAACAAGGGAAAAAATATCTGGTCGATTCCTTTTCAGGTGTTATACGTGCTATCGTGTAGGGCATACGACGATTTTGATCAGTTTTAATTTGCCGAGCGCCTCTGGGAGGGAGGAGTTCTGGGAATTTTTGGGGAGAGAATCTGAACGAAGGGCTAGAATAAATTCGATCAGATCTAACCAGAAAGCTGGTAGTCAGCGTCTCGGCAAATTTTCATCAGAGAATTCATTGCTTACCTTTATTGCGCTATTCACAAAGCAACTTGGAGAGCAGTAAAATGTTGAAAAGAAGCTTTTCCAGAAGCTATTGATTTTTTTTCCTGACGTGTGGTACACTTTGAAGTTTTGTATTGACGGCCTACATATCGATACTTTCGCCTTCGTCAGAGCGTCATCGTGTGCGACCTACTATTTGCCATATGTAATCGCTCGATTAGCTGGTTCTACAGTGGGAAGTTTAGAACACCGTTGGAGTGAAGTCTAGCTCTGAAGACGTGCTTCTTTGCTCCGTATATAGTGTTTCCTGAGGAGAGTGGGAGTGCCATTGCGTAGCTGTGAGCTCCCAAGCCCCTTCTGCTGAGACGCAACCTTTGAAAGGAGTAGAATTCATTTTGCTAGGAATTTTCAGTTCATAATTCAGGTCCATCACACTCGTGCTTATCAACCGAAACATTTGTTCTTTTGCTTACAATTGATAACAATTTCCTGATCAAAAATTCTCGTAACTTTACTTTCGGCTGTTCGATGTACATACCGGACACAGGTCTGGAATATGAGTCGCGCCCTCTACAATACGACAGCAATTCCATCTGGAAAAGCCACATCCGCTAAGTATCCTTCCCTTCCTTCCCCTGTTAGTGAACTTCTCAGCATTGGAAAACCAAAGCATGAAAAAAGAAAAGGCTTTGCTCAGTACTTTTTTCAATGAAAAAGTTTCTAGAAATTGACACACAATAATCTTTTATTATTATCAATCTGCATTTTTCTATGATGAGCTCTGAATCCTGAACACGCTTATGAGCACCCGCAGCACTTGTGGATAACGTTCCAGTATCCGACAGTACCGGAGATTTTGCATCCAGATGGGCCACCGTTGTGAAGGCGAGACATAACTTGGCAGGCTTCTTCACCGGTTGATGCGCATCCTCCCTTGTAGCGGTTGACATAGGCCTGGAAAGGATCAAAATCAAGGGTCAATCCATAAGCCAATCAGAAATTTGGAAGTTGTTGGACTTAAACAACGAACATTGACACATCCTGTAGCGCAGTTGTAGTCATTGGCGCATCTCTTCCAGGCAGTGGTCACATCTTCACCGCTCTTGCGTCCAGGGGTTCCACAGTCCTCGTAATAAGGAAGCTTGATCTGTAATCACAAATTCAGTGTATGCGATTTGTTTTGGTTTTGTGTATGAGCAGGTCATCGTGCGCAGAGACAGAGCGCAACTGCCGGACACTGGGCGTCTTTCTACAAGCACCCTGATTTCTCTCGTCGTCTGCCGCCTCCTTCAGACAATTACTCTCTCACGTGAACGTAAGAACGTCCAGTCTCTGCGTGCGATGACTTGTCAGTGGGAAAAAGGAAATGCTTTAGAAAGTATTCAAAAATGCTAGCCTGATAGTAGCCGCATGAGAGCGATCCAACATCCATGTTGCAACCAATGGGCTTACATCCGGATTCATGCAAGCAAATGCAGTGAATACAAGTGTCTGCATAAGCAGCGTACACTGAAAATGTTAAATTAATGAAATAAAGGACCTGAGACGGAGATAGACTCCACTTACAAAAGCTTGCGACAAGAAGAAGTTTAGCGAGCATGGCTAGCGTAAAATCATGCGCTGCATATGATTTTATACCTTTCTAGCATATTCAAGCTTGAGATAAGATGGAATACAGATAGAGAAGTAGCGCAAACACTTCTGATAAGGTAACGCGTGATCCGATTTTTGATGGTTGGACAATTAGCTCTAGTTCGCTGGCCATGATTGCAAAGCTCTACTACGCTTTTCTTTTTTGCGAGTTTTCTGAAGCATAAAATATTTTTTCATTGATGAAATATGGCACACTCAATTGAATGTGGTATTGTTTTCATTTCATTAATGATGCGGAAGTGACTCTACCGGAAATTGAAACATCGGTATCATCATGGAACATAAGTTCTGCAGCTTATGGAAGTTCATATGCGTAGATCTCAATAAACATTTTCAATCTAATATTGGTAATTCGGAGAGGTATTTTTTAACAGTGCTGGACACGAATACTGTTGTCATATGCGGTGTTTGAACCTGATCAGGAGATATTTGAATCAAATTTTTCAATCCTCGATACATTAAGATTACTAGAAAGTACTAAGATGCGGCGCGTGCTCCGCAGAGAGTCCAGTCCGTGCGTCAACGAATCGACTATAACTCGATTGTGTTTCATGTATGAAGACACCTTCTAGAAAGTGAATTTTCTCGATCAAGTCAAGGCTTACTAATACTGTACAACCCGATTTTTCATTGTGATCGTTTCGTTTTTAGTGACATTGAGTAGCTCCCAAGTTATATTGTAATTTGAAATCTTGCAGAGTAGCGAAGAATGATAATCTAGTAGAACAGAGACTGCAAGAAGACTGCTTAATTTAGTCAGTGATAGACTATTTTCATAGGGTAGCCGTTGTTCGAGAAGGCCGTAATGTTAATCAATCTTAGACAACAAAATATTTGAAGTTGTGCAATCAGTGCTCAACATCTCATATATTGAACTCGAATAATCTTAAGGAGAAACAACTAGCTAGTGTGCTTCCAACCTTTTTAGAGTTTTATCTCCAATTCCCACAAATTAGGAGTTGCGCATTTGTGACACTTGATAAAAAGAAGATACTAGTATTTTTTACCTCTCCACTTAGTTTAACCTTGAAAAAAAATCCTAGAAGAACGAACATTATAGGATTTTTTCCCCCTCACAGTATTTTTATTAGTCATCTGCAAGAGGCACTGTAAATGAAGAGAACTTCTAGACAGGTTTTCGCTGAACGTTTTTTTGCAATGACATCATTTGCAGTCATTGAAACAAAAAGGTGCTGATGTTATACCCTAATTACAGCAGCTTGTAGAAACCGGAGCAGGCCATTTAGATTTGCAGGGAAGGATGACTAGGAATCTATCACATCATTGGAAAGTTTTTTGTCTGACTGGACTGCAACAATAATAAAAATCGCTGAGCTGGAAGAGTGGTTATTTTTCTCTTCGAATGAGCACATCGGGGAGATGTCTTCAGTAAGAATTTGGCGAAATGACGAGTAGTTTTGTCATTTCCTTAAAAATCTAACAAGGGAACCGTGTCGAGTCGAAGTGGCCTTTCCAGATGAGACCCATATTGCTTCGAAGAGTATTGAGCGATGATTCCAAATCTGCCTTCCAAATCTGCCAAGCGCCTCTGGACGCCGAGTTATGACCGTTTTTCGGAACGAAAAATGAATGCAGAATTTAGGTAAAATTGATTGTTACAATCTTTCCAGCGCTCAGATAAAGCAATGTTAAGTATTAGCATATTAAATAAAATGTATACATTGCATAACAGCTCTGATACTTGACACTGAACCTTTTGAGCAAATTTGGGCGATTTTGCTTCAGTTTTGCGCAATTTTTTGGCCTGAAAAACGAGCATAACTCAGCGTCCAAAGGTGCTTGGCAGATTTGGAAAGCAGATTTGGAATCAACGATTAATGCTCGTCAAAGCAGTATGGGTCTCATCTGGAAAGGCCACTTCGACTCGACACGGTTCCCTTGTAAGTAATTTTTCGGTGTCACAGCTATATTAGAAATAATAATGATGATAATAAAACGTGGCTATTGGGCGCTGCTGAATGCTTGAAAAGGCAGTTCTACAGTCAGCACTGACATGCTTTATTGAAGTGGAAAAGCAATGCGCAAGCCACAATATGTGTAATTCTTGAAGATTCTGTTAGATATTTAATTCTCTTCTAGCCAAAAAATGCGCGCAAAAATTAGGTGTAATTGTTACGATCGCTCCAGCCCCAAATAAAGCAGTGTTGAGTCTGAGTATAATAGACAAAAGGTATTCGCAATAACCTTGTATCTGATGCTGGACCCGGCCACTTTCTCATCTCGGAAAACGCTCATAACTCAGCGTTCAAAGGCCCTCGGCAGACAGCGAAAAAGATTTAAAATCAGCTTTCGAAGCTCTACAGAATGGTGTACCCTTTGATTCAATTAGATTGGCGGCTGAAAGGCGGGACTTCATGACCTAATCAAGGCCAGAAAATGATCAAAGAGCATATTCGCGAGGGGGATGCGGACAGCGTCGCGTATGCGAGTGGTCGCCCTACAGCCGCCATTCTCGTTGAATCAAAGATCGCAAAGAGTTAAAATCGTTTGGAAACGCAACTTTGATTGAAAACATATTCCTATTTATAAATTATGTGAATTTAACTCGGCGCCCAGGAGATTCGGAATCAGCGTTCGAAGCTCTTCATGATGATATATAATAGATTTTGTTTGTATGTTAGCATCGAATTGAAGTCCGATGAGTCTGTCCGCGAGCACGTCAATCCCTACAGATTGAATCTTGAATTTATTTACATGCACAGAAAAATCTCAATGTGAACCGGTAATAAAAAATTCAGTTCCACCCCCTGTTACAGTAAAATCGATTTCTTCCCGAATATAGTCTTTTATTCTGTAAAGTGACGTGATTCAAGGTTACACACTTTCTAGAAAGAGCGAAAAAAACCACATTTCTTTTTCGCTTTTAAAACATATATACATATACATATATATATATATATCGATACCGGAGATGGCCAAGTACAACTCATATTCGCGTATCAGTTGAAAAGCGGAGATATGTCAGTTATGATTGCTAAAATTTTTCTTATCATTACTCTCTGTAAGCCGAATTTTTTTCAAATTTTACATCTTATCAAACGCTTTCCTCAGTGTGCGTTTCTCGAGCAGAAGACTGCCTCGAATGTATCTGTAATCGTGAATCAGGATGTGCTCCTGTCGGATGTGGTATGGATGAGGGATCACACTGCGGATTCTACCAAGTATGGTCGAGTTGTTCCGTAGCTTACATGCACACGGCGGCCCGAATAATTTTGTTGAGGGGAGGGGCAAATTTTTGAGGAACCATGGTGTTCGCCGCCCTTTCCAAAATTTTTTTAGGTCTTTCCAAACTTTAGCCGGCCTTTCCTGAGTTTTAAAAGAAGGGCGTAGCTGCAGCTGTGCCTCGCAAGAATTCTTCACAAGGCTAACTTGAATTTTAGAAATTCTTGAAACTTTAATTATTTACAAGCGAAAAGTCAGAATCCGTGTTCGACTATCCAATATCTTGGCATAGTTTGAATCTTCTGGTTGATTTCTCTAGCAGCGTAGAAGATTGGTATAGATATCTATTCCATAGTTTATATCGTGGAATGAATATCTGCACCAAGGGGGGGCTTCCTCGTCTACAGTATATTGTCCTTTTAATGAGTGGGTTCTACTACGTTGTTGCAAAAAATAACCGTTTTGCATTACTTTGACAAGCTATAACTTTGTCCAGTCTTCATATTTTTGAATGTAGTCAAGACCAACAGAAGCAGTAAACCTTTTGTAACTTAGCGTGCACCTCTCATACCGATAACGCAGACGGAAAGAAAATTTTACGTTAAAATCCCAAAGATATTTCTTTCAGGGAATGACAATTCGTTAAGTTTTCTTTTTATGGCTGCTGATCAGCTTATTTTGTAGCCGCAGGCCCGTAGTATATACGAATATAAACAAATTTCTACGAGAGAGTTTTGCGAAAGTAAAGATTAAAATTCAAAATTATTCACTTTGTGAGCCTATTTGTGGTGGACCTGATAGTCCCAAACTACGGAAATTTGGAATTTCGCAAACACTGAATAGCTAAGTTTTTCTACAAGAATTGTATGCGAGGTGATCTAATCCCAGTCTTATGAAAATGTGTGAAGTTCTGGCGATCGCCTTAATCACGAAAAGTTTTTTGGCTTCCAGATTATTAGCATCCAAGTATCCTTTTTGGTGCGTCGTCTCACTTCAAATATCATCGAAAAATGTATTCAAAAATTCTGTAGGTAAGCAATATTCATCCCTAACGTAGCTACATTTCAAAAAAAAATTCGGTCATTTGCGCCTGAACTGTGGCCAATAAAGCGAAAGCTATGAAATTTTGGTTTTGAGTGCAAAGGTGTAAAATACTGTTGAAATTTCCATGGATGAGGGTAGATGCCTGACGCACCACTTTGGAAAACACATGAATAAGGCTTTTCAATGATGTGCAGATTTGTATCGAAAAAGACAGTTGGATAGAAAAAGAATGGCTCGGATGGCCTAGAAAAAACGGACATTATTTTTGCACCAACCTAATATTCAAATGAAACATGTCCCGGTAAGGTTCGGACCGGACAAAAATGTTTAATTTAGATCCAGCTCCCCTACTACGAGGACTGCGGCACTCCTGGACGCGGTGAAGGTGAAGATGTGACAGCTGCTTGGCAGAGATGTGCCAATGATTATGACTGCGCCACTCAATGTGTCCAGGTTCCCTCCGTCCAAGTCGAATTGCATTTTTGTGACTTTCATGTAAGTTTTAGGCTTACTACGAACGCTACAAGGATAATTGCGATGGGACTGGGCAAGGACCATGCGAGGTTATGTCTCGTCTACACAACGGTGGCCCCGAAGGATGCCATAAATCAGCTACCGATGGTTATTGGGATGCTATCCAAAGTTGCTGCGGCTGCTCTTAGGCTGCTTTCATAGGATGATAAGAGATCAAAACAGCATATGACCGACAAATTTTGAATTGACGCATTCCTGCATTTTCTATTCAGTTCACCAAAGCTTTTTTTGAAAATCCTATCGTGAGGGTCGCTTGCAGTCTGAAGGATTTTTTGTTTTATGGCCCTAGCAACAAGTTTACTCCAAAGGAAGCACGATTTTTTAGCTTGTCAAATCTCTCTTTTGCATTTTATTTTGGATTGTGCTGTGGTTCTACTTACTTTTTTCATACTTTTTATGTGTTATGACTTCTCTTGCCTTCAATTGTTTGGCATCGAAATAAACCGCAAACCTTCAAAATGATGTTGGTGAAGAAAAATAATTAGCTACATCAATTAAGTACAGCTCTAGAAGAGGGTTTGAATAACATTGTCATTCGCTTAGTATTTACCCATTTATTGCAGATCGCATCACATCAATGTGCGCCATGTGATTTCTTTCATAGAGTTAATATAGACATTCTTCTACCCTCTTTTTCATTGAGAGTGGCTGGTGGAGGGCGCAGCTTCGATTGCTTATTATGCCTGAGAAATGATTTCTGGTGAGAGAGATGCAGAGCCCACAGCCACACCTACTACCCGCCACTCCCAGTGATAGAGAGTGTACATATTTCTACCGCTCTCTTATGTAAGTGGATTAAAGCCTAGTAAGCACTGTATTACTGCCTGCATATCAGATTTCATACAGCACCCAAAAGGCAGCGTACATGTTACAAAACATTCCGAAATGTATTCTCATTATCTGCTGAGCGACTATCTGAGAAGCATTGTAATATACCTATTCAAATCCTAATGAACAAAGTTGCTCAAAAGGCAGTCTTGAAGAAATAAATAAGGTGCTTGTTGATATTTGAGTCAAAGGCAGTCGCTCGGCAAAATGACCACCCTTTCCTGATATCGTGGATTTAGCTAGTAGACCTCCAAGTACACCACTGTACTCAATCCCCACCTGCTAGTTCATGCGCTAAGTCTTGAAAAACAAGCTTCAAGACTCCACCGGCCTCGCCTACTCAATGGAAGTGAACTTTGAACGCTTGTAACCCCTTCCTGGTAGTCGCTTAGTAGATAATAAACATATATCTTAAAAGGGTTTCAAGGCGAGTGCGATGATTCGCAGCCTGCTTGGAATGGCTGGGATACGTTTTGACCAATTCCTCGTAAGCAAATTTCACGCTTACGGAAGACAGTAGGAAATTTGACCGAAGCCTAAGAGGGACAAAGAAGGGGTAACTTTAGAGGTAGAGTCACAGCGCTTAAAAATCTGGTCTCTTCCCTCAATGACAGTTCAAAACCTGAACATTTGCGCAGAAGCAAAAGCAAGTACTCATGTGAACATGGCGGAAAATTGTGACTGGAAAGATGTATTGTATCCGTAAATTGTTTCTGGACAAAAGGCGAAGGGCCAAGCGCAGCGTTTGTGGACTAAAAAAGTGTAAGAGTTGGGCACACTAAAGCCGATCTCAATGCTCCCATTTTCGATGCATAGTAGAGTGCTGCAACAGAGAAATGAAATGCACACAGTAAGAGCCTGTACTATAAATAAAATGCTGTTAAAGAACTCATCAATAAATTCAACAAGCAGAAATATCAGTCATTTCAGGCAGCAACAGAGAAGCTTAGTCCGTTTACGCTGCACAATGTGTAAAGAAATGATGAGAAACTTGGAGATGACGAGTACTATGTTGAGTACACCTCAAGGCGACTTTCAGCGAAAAATGAGAATGATTGGAAGATCTTCGATTCAGCGCGCAAAAGATCGCCACAATAAACATGCAGAGACAGGGCTTGAGCCCGTTGGCAAGGCAGTTGCCAGGTTTGGTTTCGCGTCGGAAACTTTCTGAAACTACCAATGGATAGAACATAAAACGATGTTCTCAAATATATCTTCAATATCTGCGACGCGTTCTTGAGGTTATGGGCTTTTCTGTATATATCATGGAAGTGTGATCTAGGAAGAAATGACGGCCTAACAACATGGTCGGAAAACACTCGAAACGTTCGAATGAACTCAGATTAGACTTACAATGCTTCCTAGGTGGTTTGCTTGAGCTTGCACCTTTTGTGTAAAAATTATCATGATTTTGCGACTCAAAATGCACGAAAATTGGCTTTAGAAGAGCTCATAACTTTTTTCGGAACAATGCATCGCAGATTAGAAGCTATATCTGAGACCAGTGTTTTAAGCTCTATCCATAGGTATAGATCTCCTTCCAAATCGCCACTTCGACTAAATGAACTTTCGTTGTTAGTCACAGAATGAATAACGTATATATTAGGTCGTTTCGAATGTCGCTTTTTTCGAATGAACGCCACTATTCGTGGAATCAACGTTTTCAAGAGATCTTAAAAGCATTCGATGCAGCACTTCATCCTCTTTCTGATGGTTCTAATTTCGCTGCATAATGTTCAATGAGCTCTCGAAAAATTACCAAAATCTGCTACTTATGCTTTTTGCCATTGTCAAGTTCGGCTATTTTTCTAAATTTTTGTACCTATTCTCCGAAAAAGTACAAGTGAAACGTAGAAAGCAAACCCTATAGGACACAGGATAATTTTTCCTTCTCCTTAGCCTGCTTCTTAAAGTTTCTGGAATCAATTTTTCAATGCTATCAAATTGCATATTTGGTCAACTCAAACCACACAGAACAACAACCGGCAAGCAACTCGGGTGCCATTCGACGCAGCTTTTTCTCCTCTTTCTAAAAGTTGTTTTTTGTTTCCGATTCATCAAGTTTTCCGGGATAAAATCATCATAATTCAACTTTTCCAAGGCACCCCAAGGTGTACCCGAAATTTTCGAAAGTTGCTAAACCGAAGCGGTGAATGCTCGTTGGGTTTGTTAAACTGTTGCCAAACCATAATCCATCTTTGTAACTTTGAAAATCCGGAGATTTGCTGGCGTTTGATGCACTTTTGTCTAAGACGAGCCTGCTAAAATTCGGTGGTTCCATCAAAAAATCTGTACAAAAATGATGACAAGCTCTGAAAAGTAGAAAAAAGTTGTGCTGTTTCCTGTATGGTTTGCTCCATCCATCCATTACTTGGACTCCTGGGGTTTGTTATACAATCTTAGAAAAATTGTGAAACTTGGCCATCTTAAAAAGCATAGGTCGCAGGTTTTGACTCTTTTCTGGAAGCTCATTGACCGTATTGCAACAGCTTCATAACCATTAGGAAAAGAATGAAATTCTACATCAAATGCTACCAGAATCTCCTACACATCTGTTTTACACGAGATATGGCATACATTTGAAAAAAGCGACATTACTTTCGGAACGACCTAATACATATATTTGATGTTAGTCATGAATAATTTGAAAACAATTTACTCTTTCTCATACCCACCTACTTATAAATGGCGTGAGGTCTCTTACTGATCAGCCCTGGTCAACACACCCGTGGAGGAGTGACTTCGTAAAACGTTGAAAATATTTAGTTAGGCTTTACTTGTATACAGTAGAGCGCAGTTGCATCCTAATGGATACAACAGTCAAATATTTCTTAATTACTTACTTTTGCAGTGCATTTTTTCATTTAATTTTGAACATCGGGAGCAACAAACAAAGAGCATTCTTTTTGAGTCATGGTGTGAATATGGTGCACGCCCCGGAATTATTCCCATATGAACCATCAACGTTGTCTTTCGATCATTTTAACATGTCAGCTTCGCATAAGCGCCTTATTGTTGGAGGTAACGTATTAAAACCATCGCAAAGTACAAAGTCACGGACTCGTTTGTACGTGCTTTTTCGCACCTTGGTTTGAGTTTTGTGGAAGATCAAGATTACAGCACAGCTATCAGGAAAATAGTGGATACCATCATTTTTTTTCATTTTATGACTTCTCTTTTGGTCCACCACAAAAGGTGACGCAGCAAACTCAGTATGCACATGACATGAATGTAAAAGCTTTTTTTGGGGAGCTGCGTGTGTATACATATAGCATAAAAAACTCTATCAGAAGCCAGCCCGGAAAGGCAATCGAAATTGCTGCAGACACAAAGAAAAGCACATACAGCAGCCTAGTACCCCAGCGTATACATAGTATCATATTTATTATTCTAAAGTTGTAGGAGCACTCAGCTATTGTACTCACGGGGCAATGCACATAAGGGTCTCTTTTTGAAAAGCGATACATTATTCGGGATCATCTTGAAACAGCTGATTTCAGGTTTGTTGTCCATAGATGCGAGCATTATTCTGAACAGAGTTATGCAGAGCTTGTTTCTGTGCAAAATTTGCATGTTTTGACTTACTGATATTACCGTGTCAACATTCAGAGGGTAATGCAACTGCAGAGCTCCCTGTCAGCACCAAAAGACTAGACTTGATATTTTCATCATCCAGCATCTTTTCCAACAGTTTTCTACCTACAAGCTGTCATTCCATTTCCAGTAGCGTGTCGATAGCGGGTAATAAAAACCTCATAAGTTTTTTGAAATGAGTTTCGCAACTAGGGATAACAAATGTGTACTCAGCGTTTCAAGCTGATTCCAAACGTGTGTGGTTTTTCAAAAGGCCAAACATTTGAGTGCCTTTCCTTGTCAATAACTATTGTCTTACTTCTCGACAAAGATCCATCGGTGAGCTCATGTTTGTATCGTCGTCTCCCCGCGATAGATGGGGCGTGTCGTCTGCAAAGTCCGTAGACGTGCGTATTTCATACGGTATTAGCCATGGCGTGGCATGTATATACATGCCACGTCTAAAAACTTGTTGAATCTTCATCATATAACATTAGTTTTTGTACTCTCTAACTGCCAAAAACTGCCACGCGCATACGTTGGCAACGTTGGCAAAGCCACGCAGGCTAGCACCGTACGAAACAAGCACATCTACGGACGTTGCAGACGACACGCCCCATCTATCGCGGGGAGACGACGATACTGTCAGGGCATGCTTAAAGTTTCATTGCTCGAAGTCACTAATTACGTTTTCACGTTTATCTTACAAAACGCGTCGATGGTTCAATTTTGACTTTGATCGTAAAGTTTTAGTATATTAAACGTCTACAAAATCAAAGCAATGAATCGTTCCTTTCGTTTGAAGCTGCTTGTTTCTCAAGGGCTATTATATTGCCAACGTCTGATAAAGCTCACGCAATAAGAAAGGGTGAAGCGCGATGTTATCAGAGTAAGTATAAAAGCTTTTCTTGAGATATTTTTTCTCCAGTCTATATAAACTGAAGTGATTTGGCCGAAAGCGTGGATTGCAGCAATCATGCTTGCTATAATTCTTATCGCGATTTTTTGTAAGTTTCAATATCTGTCATACTCATTTTAGAATTGATTCCTTTCAGTGATTAATGCTACGACAGAAGACTGTCTAAAATGCATATGCAAACGCGAGTCCGGTTGTAAGCCAATAGGATGCCATATGGATGTTGGATCACTTTCGTGTGGTTACTATCAGGTTATTCGTATCGGTTTGAAGACTTCCGCGCAAAAAAATCCTCCCAACTTTTCAAAGCAGTTCAAACACTAATTAATTCTAGATCAAGCTCGACTACTACAAGGACTGTGGAACTCCCGGACGCAAGAAGGGTGAGTCTGTGACCAAGGCTTGGAAGAGGTGTGCGAACAACTATAATTGCTCAACTAAATGCGTCAAAGTTGGTTGTCTTAGTCGCTTTTGCAGTCGCCTTCTTGCCTCACTTCTCGTCTGTACTTAGGCGTACTACAACCGTTACAAGGGATTGTGCCCTTCGAGTCAAGGAGCATGTCAGAAAATGGCGCGACTGCATAATGGAGGTCCATCTGGATGCAAGATAAAGGCCACAGTTGGATATTGGAAAGCCGTAAAGAAGTGTTGCACATGCAAGTGAACAAACATTATGCATTTCAATAATGTGCACGGTTATTGAAATTTGGGAGATACAATAAATGATTTTGCTTTTTGACTCGTGCAAAAAATCCGACGTTTTACTCTTATACCTCCTCGCTCAGTTTGATCTAGCTGTTCATTTAGAAATATCATTAGTTAGAATTCAAGCAAGGTACATAATATGTTGATTGCGGATACCAAAAAAGTGTGTTGTATTATCGTAGCCGACCGAATTCTTTTGAAGTATTTTCGATATTTTCATTTATTAGGTTGTAAAGAAAGTTCTCGGGCACTTCCGAAATTTTTTTCAAGTGCTGCAGCTTCAAGCAGATTGATCCTTTTTGAAAGCTGCAAACTTTTCTGCAAAGGCAATGTTGTCCACGAATTATGCTCAATTTGTTGGTCCTCAGCGCTACATTTCGGGCCACCAGCATGCACAGTAGGGAAAAAGGTCGACTTAAAACCCTGCCTATTAGTGCAGGAATTTTTCAAGCACGAACAGAGCTGGAAAGCTCATATCCGGTAGTTATGTGAAACTCTGCAGGGGCTATTTGTAGACTATGTCACAATTTTAGAGCACAGTCTGTGCAAAAAATTTTCTTGAAGGAAATCAAAAAATCGGCCATTTTTGCACCTCAATGCCCCAGTTTTTGAGTAAATGAGTTCGAAGCCTTCCTTTTTACCACAGAATGAATCAAATCTTTGATTGCTGCGAATATTGCTGGGGTAATGTCTGGCACATCTTTTGGGCCTATCATCGAGGCGTGAGAGCTTGTAATTTTTGTGCGCGTATTGTAGAATACGAACGCAGCCTCGGTTTTAAAACAGCCTCATTATTCAGAGTGACGAACCTTTGATGGTTTCCTTCGTTCACTGCGAAAAAATGGCAGCAAAAAGAAAAAAAATGTGAAATTCTCGTTGTTGCACAAACTTCCTTTTTTGGTGTGTAGGTCGAACACGGCTTGTCATCGATAGAAACCAGATGCGAGTACGGAAAACTTATACAGAATCATATAAAATATTCGTCGTTATGATTCAACCGAGTGCGGAAAAATGAGTCTGGAAATGAAATTTCCAAAACTGCCTGGGAACTTTCTCTACAACCTTATAGCTACCGACGTTGAGAAAATAGTTAAATTGAGTTCATGGATGCAAAGATTACAGGGGCGGTATGCATCAATCTTCCGTTTTGAAAGCTGGCGATCATTTTCAATAGAAAATGATCGTCCGGCCGGGTTGGGCGCCCGACCCGTGATGTATGATTTCTATTGAAAATGATAGCCCGCTTTTAAAACGGGAGATTGATGCATACCGCCCCAAATCTCTGGTACCGCGGTAGCGTCGATATGCTTGAAGAAGATGCGATAATGTGAATTCTTATGAGGGAATTACCCTACTTAACGCACAGAAGATGCGTAAATATGCATAGCATTGATCATCGACTTTGCTTTGAAAATGCGAAAAACACTGAGAACTAGAAAGCTTTTGATAAACATAAAATGAAAAATCTTTCGAATTCGAAAAACGACTTTTTGCACCGTTCAAATACATGGTAAGTTATAGTTTGAAGAGATCCAGTAGTTGGAAGGAAACTTGGATACTACTCGACTTTCGACAGTTTGCGAGAGTTTCTTCGTTTTGTAGTACGGTACTAAATGATTTTAGTGTTTCCATAAAGTCTGAAAAACAGGACGCCAAACGGACCCAAGGACAAATTTCATTCGTGCTCTACTACTGTCTATTTACGTATCTGTAGGTAACTTGGTGAGGATTTCACAGTGTGAACAAAGGTAATCCTAGCACAATGGGTACATTCCCTATCTTCACTTGCCCACTACGATGTACTATTTATTCTCTGACAAACAATAAGAGAAGCGAGCATTTTGCGTACGTTTGATTGAAAAACTCATGAATGCGTTCTAACGCGTTTTTGATGACTTACTAGTAACAACTCGAGGTGAAACATGTTCGAGCAAGGTTAAGCATTAGAGTTCATACATGTTTTTTACGAATACCCTCATAGTAGTCAATCAGAACGCGTTCCAAAGCAATCATGAACTTGTTCATTAAATGTACGCAAAGCGTGCTCGCGTCTCTTAGTCAGAGAATGAATGATAAGCTGTATTGCATTTCCGTCAGCTAGAAGTGGAGTAAAATGTCTTCATAACAGTTCGTGCAACACGCTAGCTGGATATCTTGCCTTTTCTTTATAGTTTTTTCCTAATCTTGAAATGAAGCAGACCTACAGCAGACTTACCTACAGGCCGTAAGACGCGCATACCGGCACGCTGCTGAGGCTTGCACCCGATTAAAACTCAACGCGCTTAGCATTGACAAGTTTCACTTTTCAGACAGGAACAGTCGCTTAACAGAACACTTAAAAAATGATTATCGGCTGGCAAAGTCTAGACAATGCTTAGCAAGAAAAGCTGCTTATAGCAAATCGCCATGAACCTTACAAAATGATTTGTTATCAGCTGGCAAAATCTAAACAATGCTTAGCGGGAAAAGCTGCTTACCAAACATCTTATCAGCGAGTAAAAATCAGAATACCATAACTAGTCAGCTTATGAGTGAAAATGAGCAAAAAAATTGATATCGACATATCGAGGCATGTGGTTCATTCAAGTATTGCGCTTGAATCTTCAATAGATCTCGTCAAATGCTAACCCTGACAGGAGACCATGAATGATATCCACGAAAGTCCATAATGGAGGAAAATGGACTTTCAAGCCCCATTTTATTCGTTCGCGGTGGAGAGTGGTCGGAATCTACTTTCGCTCGCGTTATCCAAAAATTTTCATCCAATCGCAACCACGAGGCAAAGCGGTGAAATGAAAATGATTTAACCCTACCTGAGCTCTCGCTTGCGAAATGATGACGTCAAAAGTCCATTTAGAATGGGGCAAAATGGGATTTACCTCCATTTTAAATGGACTTGAAAGCCCATTTTACTCCCAGCAGCAAGGTGAGCTGGGACTAAGCCCATTTTTGACCTTTTTGCATATTTTTGATTGCAATTTTTTGAGAATGTGTTCCTCATCCTATCCTAAGGTAATAGGTGAGTGGAAAAAGTTTCATGTCTTTCATGAAATCTGAAATAAGTGTTTCTTTCTAAACTCATAGAAACGTTATAAAAACGTAGTAAAAGATCAAATTCACTCAAATATTCGCTAATAAACCCAAATGCTTCTTAATATCAGGTCAATCAGAAAATTCTTATGTAAAACAAATAAAGTTTCTTAACTCTTCAAATCATCAACTAAAACCAAATTCATGATTTGTAATCTAAAATTTGAAAAAAATTGTGCTTCAATGTGATTACTTAGAAGCTATCTTTGGCTAATTTCGTAGAACTGAACCTCAGAGACGGCATTTTAAACGCAACTTTGAGTTTGGTTCGCAAGAATTACTGAAGTGCCGCTAGCTAGCTAGAGAAATTCCGTGAATAATTTCTTACTAGATTAGTCCATACATTCAACTCGGTGAAAGACAATGAAAAGCTAATATAGACCGCTTGCGAAGTCATCTTTTGAGCTTCAAAGTTTTTGCGACTTGAAAAACCCTCTGAGTTGTAGTGTAGTACAAGGTTTCTTGTAAGGAGCATTTTGGTTTACTGGTTGCAGTGCAACTCCAGCCAAGGTTTGCTTTTTGCAGAAATCTCCACATACGAATTCGATTTAATGCTGATTCGTAGAAGTTTTGAAGCGAAGGCCCGAATATGACATGAATTTTAGTCTTGGAAGTGATTTAGATGCATAGTCATCGATAACGAATGGCATTCTGTTAGGTGTAACGATGTGGGCAAGAATAGAATAGCCACTTGAGTGACATTGTAATGTTAGGTCAGCCTGGTTAGATATCGACCACTTGGTGGAAATGAGTTCAAGAGTGAGCAAACAGGTTGAGACAAGTTGGAGAAAGGTTAGTTGAAGCATTTTTGTATGGAATGAATGTGTTCGCGAATGCGATATCTTATCGCACCGCATGGACTAAGTCCATTTTATTCGCACGAAAAGCCAATTTCGCGGGGACTTTCGTGGATATCATTCCATGTTTAGTCATATCCCCTAACAAGAAACCATGTTGAATCAAAGTAGCATTTTAAGAGTATGTGTATCATATTGAAGGGCATAAAATGCTGATTCCAAGTCTGCCTTCCTTATGTGGGGAGTGTCTGTGGACGAGGAGTTACGAGCGCTTATTGGAGCAAAAAAAGATCGAACATTCAGGATAAAATGAGTTGCGTATGATCTTACTAGCCCTCAAACAAAGCAATTAAGTGTGATATATTTATTTTAGAGTATTTATTGAACAAAGTGCTTTGATAATCATCACTACCTAATAAATTGAACTGTGCGAAATTGGACTGTGCGCCCACGCTGAGCGGTTGTGTCTCCTCATCGTTCTTGCGTATCACTAAATTGCTCCTGTTTCCGTAAATCTTTGAGTTCAAACTTTGATTTATTGTGGCAAGATCATTCGATCAACATCTCTGTTGCCCGTCGTCTTGTTTTTTGCTTAATCATTCTCTTCTGATTGTCTTTCCCTTTCATTCATTTTCCATTCTCTATTGATCGATACCACGATGCCGGCTCATTCGCTTAGGTCAAATACTCAACCTACTTCATCTCGTGTCACAAGAAAGAGAGGTTCTCGTAATTTGTATCAGCCTGCAGCTGTTGATGTCGAAAATTGTGCACAGGAAGGAGGGGATTTCGGTGATATGTCGGCTGATGAGATCATTCTCTCAATTTTGAAGAGAAACACCGACCCCCTTATCGAAAAAATGGTACTGGCACTTAGAACGAGAATTCCGCTCGATGCGGAAACCGAGAAAAGGCACAGAAGCATCGTTGTAGCAGGTCTAGAGGAAGAAGATCCGTCTAAGTCTCTTTTAGAAAGAAAGGACACCTCGAAAAAGGTGTGGCCAGCATTTTAGACATTTTGAACGTCGACTGCTGGCCCACCGAAATGTATAGAATGGGTAAATTGGACAGCGCAAAACCAAGACTAATCAAAATAGTGTTTCCGTCGCGCTCGCATTGGACCAAAGCCCTCGCTA